TTGCCAAGGGAGCGGAAGAAGTGGGAGACGAATTCTGAACCCCTATCAGAGGTTATGTGGGATGGAATGCCGTGCTTGGAGAAGATGTGAAGGAGGAACAACTTCGCTAACTCCGGGGCTGTTATGGTATCGGTCGTTGGCACGAAGATGCACTGCTTTGATAGCCGGTCGACAATAACCAAGATAGCTAGCTGGTTGAGCAAGCCATATGGCTTGTGTCGTGGGGCCTTAGCATGGGTGCAAGCCGTACAGGAGGACACATAGTCCTTGACGAACGTGCGGATGCCCGGCCAGGTGTACTCTCGGTGTAACAGATCCAAGGTTCAGTTCTGCCTGAAGTGGCCAGAGAGCGGGTGGTCATGCTTATACCTCAGGATGTGAAGCCGGAGGTTGTTGGCATCGGGGACGTAGATTCAGTTGTCTAGCCGTAATAGGCCATCTACATCTTGAGACCAACAGGAGTCCTCTGGGATCGGGCTGGCAAGGTAGTCAGCGATGGCGGGATCAGCGGGGAGGGTGGCTAGGATGTCTTTGTGGATGGTGTCGACATCGACGAGGGAGCTCGCTCATAGCACGGGTTTGGCGAGGTATGTAGCTCTTAGGGAGGATGCAAGCTGCTCCTGCATGAACACCGGTCAGAAATTCTGAGGGTTTACACGAGTGTAGTCCCTATCCCCCTCTTTGGGGTAGACGTCCCAGCGTCTAGTCAATGCATCTGGTTTCGTGCTGAGTCTTCCTGGGCAGAAACAGACAACCAAGTTAAATTGAGAGAGAAACTCAGACCAATGAGCCTGGCGGCGCGTTAGGAGCTTCGTGGTGCAGAAGTATTCCAAATTCTTGTGGTCAGTAACCACATCGACAGGGGTACCGGAGCCTTCCAAATAATGCTGCCACCCTCGGAATGCTTCATAGATTGCTAGAAGCTCCTTGTCATGGGTGTCATAGTTGAGTTCCGGCGCCGTCAATGTCCTCGAATGAAAAGCAACAGGGTGTCAGGGCTCGGTCCTCGATCAGGGACAGCCCGACCTCAGGCCTAGGTGTGTGCGGTGTTCCGGGTGGTTGGGCGCTAGACCCTGTCCTTAGCTCCTCAAACTCACTGAAGGGACTAAGCGGGGATTGAGTTGAGAAGAAGGGTAAGTTTCCCTATTCCCCGCTTGGCTACTATAAAAAGGAAGTGTACTGTACAGTTCATAACGTGACTCCGGGTAGAAGCTGAGCATGTTCCCGCGACTCGGAAAAGGTGTCACATGGGTTAAGGCGAGTTGCTCGCCTTAACCCACGTGATTTTTCCCGTGGGCTCACATGCGGGCTGAAGTTGTGAGAGGTATGTAGGGATGGGGAGGTCTGGGAAGGTGGTTCTGGGGTGTGGTTGGGTGCCCTGACAGCGGGGTCAGGGGCCGATCCCTGACACAGGGTGTATCTCGTCATCTGCACGGCAGATAGAGATAATGCCTGAAATTGCGTAATCGGAGGCGTCAGTTTCAACTATGATTGGCATGTCAGGAACCCAATGGGTCAAATGGGGGTGGAAGTGAAGGCATCCTTAAGTCGTTGGAAAGCCAAATGACAATCGTCAGTGAATACCCAGGGGGCCCCCTTTCGGGTGAGCCGGGTCAGTGGTACCACAATATCGGAATACTTGTGGATGAATTGCCAATAGAAATTAGTGAATCCCAAGAAGGACTGAATGTCCTTTACCTTACAGGGTTCGGGCCAATCTTGGATGGCCTTCACCTTCTCTGAAGACATGGCAAGTCCACTAGGAGAAAGTACGTACCCTAGGTACTCCGTAGTCTCGGTATGGAACTCACATTTCTTCGGGTTGGCAAATAGCCTGTGCTGTCGAAGCCTTTGGAGGACTTCCTGGACATGCTCCTCATGGGAGGCTTCATCCTCAGAGTACACTAGGATATCATCCAGGTATACAACAACACATACGTCTAGGAGGTCGGCGAAGATAGAGTTGACGAACCGCTGGAACGCCGCAGGTGTGTTTGTAAGCCCGAATGGCATAACTAGCCACTCGTAGGAACCATAGCGGGTTCAGAACGAGGTCTTCCACTTGTTGCCTGCAGCGATGCGCACAAGGTGGTAGGCATGCCGCAGGTCGAGTTTTGTATAGACCTTCGCTTGGCTCAGGGCATCTAGCAGGTCTGCTATGCGAGGCAGCGGGTATCTATCTTTCTTTGTAATCCGATTGAGGCCCCTGAAATCCACGCAAAGACAGAGCGATCCATCTTTCTTGCAGACGAAGAGCACCGGTGCAGCATGAGCCGATGAAGACGGCCTAATGAAGCCGGTTGCCAGGTGCTCATCTAGGAATGCTCGAAGAGCCTCAAGTTCGGTCGGGGATAGGGAATACAGGGTTCCCAATGGGGGGTGCACACCTTCCTCTAGCTCGATCTTCAGGTCGAACTCACGATGTGGCGCCAGAGTGTTAGCCTTGCTTTTGCTAAACACATTGGCGAATTCGTGATAGACCTTCGGTATGGCATCGAGGTCGGCAGGCTCGGACAAGGTGGATGAGCGCAGCTCGCTCGCTTGGGACGGGATGCTCAGGCTGAAGGTTACAGAACCTTTGAGTCGGGCAGCGTGGACAAATGCTGCAGGGCTGACTAACTTGATCAAAGGAGCCTGGCGGTCGGGATTTCTTGGTGTGTCTTTGGATATGGGAACCGATGTGTCCGCTGGAGGGACAGCATTTGGCAATGGTTCAGGAGAGCTCTGGGGGATCGGACTGGATTGTTCAGACATCTGGAAAGTTAAACTGCTCTTTACCCAGTCAATCAACGGATTGTATCAGGCAAGCCAGTTATGTCCAAGGACGATAGCACAAGAGCCATCCAATGGGGTGACAAAGAATGTCATCGGGGTGACATCACCAGTAATAAAATGGATGGGGAGGTTGACGGCGCGAGTTATCACATTGTTTGTGGTGCCATCGAATAAGTGGAGCTGCATAGGGGTTACGGTATAGGTCGGGATCTTTATTTTATTAATCAGTTTTGTATCAATAAAACAGTCAGAGGAACCAGAATCTATGAGAGCGGAGAAAACAATGGAGGGATCACATTTGTCTGGAGAAAGTAGACCATCAGGAGAGAACATATCCGAATGGGAGACAGAAGTCCCGGAAGTGGAAAACAAAGGAAAGCTGGGGGCATTCCCCCTTGAACTAGGAAATCGACCATCAATGGAACAAAAGGAAACTGGGACAGAGAAAGAATTGGGGCTGGAGAGGGCAGACACGTTCAAGTGCACCTCCCTCTGCGCACGAACCGGTTGACCGCAACCGTCTGATTGTGCGTGGTCCGGATGGTTGCTGGCTAATTTTTTGGGTCAGACAACAAGTCTGACTCCAGTTCAGGCATTGTAACAGGGAATTTATCCCAACATCACACAGGCTCACAGGGGGGACAGTGATCTCCTGCCAGCCTCTGTCAGGGCCCGGCCTCGGACTCGGAGGCTCCCTGACCTCAACCCCCATCTAACCTGTCCTCACACTATGCGGGGTATGAGATGTATAGTAAAAGGAAAGATAATATATACACTTGCCTATGCGGGGCATGAGATGAGAAGAAGGGTAAAGGTCTCATCTCCCTGCATGGTTGCTATATAAAGGAATGGGTCACATGCCCACAACTATACAGCTCCTAGAGTTGTGTAGTGTGACCCGGAGGGAACATCCAGGTGGCAGTGCCCAGTAAGCATGGGAACGTTCTGGCCCAGAACTGTGGCTGTGACCCGTGGGAACATTCTGGGCGAGCTGCTCGCTCAGAAAGTTCCCACGCTATCCCATGCGCGCGCGTGTACACAACACACAAAGGCAACAACAAGGCAACAGTCAAAGAATAAAAGGGGGTAAAGTAGGTGGGGAGTCTGGGGCACCCTAAGGCAGGGTGCTGAACCCTGACACTCTCTCAATCTCACCAAAGGTCCTTGTAGTATGGTGTTGTATAGTTGTGGCTGTGCAGTCACGGGACTACCCCAACTACACTCACCAATGTATATACATGAAAGAATGAAAGAGCAGTGTTTTGTAGTGCAAGGGTTTATCCCTGCAACATACAGGCCTAGCTCTTGATTGCAGTCCCTTGCAATCTCCAAAAAAAGAAACAAAAGAAAGTCCCAACTTGTCAGGGCACATCCGCCCGACCCGGCCCCACTTCACCCGGTACCCCGCCACCCAGCCTTCTCTTACCTCCTCCCCCCTTCCTCTTTCTTTCTTTCTCCATTCCATTCCCTCTTCATTTATTTCACTTTCTCTTTATTTTCTCTTTATTCTACACGGACGACCTTTCCTTGTATCAATGTACCATTGACCCACCCAGAGCGTGCTCACGACACGCCCAGCCCAGGTGCCTCAGGCGACCCCCACTACGTCCAGCTCGCGCGTTCACAGCGGATGCCCTCGGGATCCCCCACAGGGACACCTGGGTGACTATGGCTGTATGTGAGGATGACGTGGCACCCATCATGTGACCTAAGCCGCATGTATATAAACATACCTGAAGTGGGAACCGAAGAAGTAGCCTTCTTCTCACCCTTTTCCACTTCAGTCCGAGTGGCCAGGGACTGTCTCCTGAGCCGGGCCCGCCAGTACGCACGCCCGCTCCACACCCCACGAGACTTCTAGTGTCGGGCATCTCACCCGGGCCTCCTCTACCCCGGACACATCCCTGACACAACTCCGCACGGTGTTAAATGCCATGTTACCTCTAAACCTTCCCACACAATCTCAATGTGCGCGCTCAACTCCATCCTGCTCCGTCCTGCTCCGTCCTGCTCCATACAGTCTCTCCTATCCTCACGACAAAAACCTCCTAAATCGCAGCTTTCCAGTGATACCAATTTCGCCCAAGTTGGCCCAGTATATGATGAAATTGCAACCGCGGAAGTCAACATGCGGTGCGAAGGCGTGAGAAGATTCCGGTAGCTCGCCCAGAACAAGCGCGCGCGCGCGCTCAACAAGTCCTCCCTCCTTCGGCACTCAATCCAACTCAGCCCTCAACCCTCATCACATCACCACTCATCATCTGGAAACTACACCCAAAACTCGCGCTACCATGCATGCCACTGGAGAACCACCAGGCGAATGGGAGGATTGGGCACAGTAGTACGCCCAGATTCCACTCCCATTGCTAACCCGCATGTGCACGATACTAACTTCGTTCACATCGGCATAGAATTCCGCAGATCCGACTCGCAACCGACTTCGACTGGAACTCAGACTCAGTCAAACACGGATGTTTGACTGGCGTCCTTGCGTGCCTGTGCTCAGCGTCATTGCGTACTGGACTGGACTCGTCTTTGGCTGGGGTGTCGTGCGACTCGTGCGACTCGTGCGCGGGCTCGGAATCGTCATCAGAAGCGGGGAGACCGAAGCTAGGGCCGGGAGGCCTTAGCTCTTTGAACTTGAACTCCATTCTCATATCGAATACAACGGCTCGGGTTGGGGTTGCCACGATAGGCACGCGCATGGGCTCGGGATCGACGTCGGACGACAAACTGGTGCTAAGGCCGGGAGGCCTTAGCTCTTTTGGCTTGAGCTTGATGCACTCTGGCGCCGTGAGATCGGGTACGGTCGCAGCATCGCATTCTGTGCTTGGGGGACTTCAACGTAATTCACGACGTCACCGTCTGGCGACTCCAGCGCGAAAACTCGGGGAAAATCGAATAGAAAGTGGAAGGAATGTGGGTTTATTGTGTGAAGACTCGAACAAAGGTCGCCTGGCTAGGGGAAGGGGTTCGAATGTCGCGATATCGAGGACTAACGACGCCTCCGACTCGGGAAAACTCTGAGAAACGGTGGAACTTCGAATGTCGAAGCCATCCTGTGCCCCATCGTAGGGTCCGCCAGGAGGACTCAGCGTAGTCTTGAGTGGCAACAGCCACGGCAACTGGTGTCAACTTGCACAACTCGCGCGGACCACTCATGGATCCCAAACGCGAACTGCTTCTCCTGTGCCCTATCGTAGGATCCTCCAGGAGAGCAACGATCACACGCCCCTACACCCATCTGTGGGATTTATGAGGGGGAATCAGCAATATGACGTGTTTTTCTCTTGACTCCGATGCTCGCATCTTTAGTTCGACTTGTTCCTCTTGTAAACTTTTGTACTCAGCGTGTAAAATCGTCGATATGCGGTGTAGAATTAGCTCAGACAGAAATGATGATGTGGTTTCGCATGTAAGAATAAGCGCACATGTCGCATTTGTTGAAAAATCGTAAGAACGATGTGAAAACTTGGAAGAATGTTGTCTGGCTGGGGAAAGGGGGTCGTGAATTGTGTCATCGATGACTAGCGGCACGTCAAACTCGGGTAAAACTTGAAAGACTCGGTGAAACTCCAACATCGCGAATAAATGGTGTCCTCCTGTGCCCTATCATAGGATCCGCCAGGGGGAACAACCATTGGCTTAGTGATAACAAAGGAACTCCTGTGCCCCATCTTGGGATCCGCCAGGCAGTTCAATCAAACAGTGCTGGTGTGTATTTGCACAACTTGTGCGGACCACTCATGGATCCCAAACACAAGCTCCTGTGCCCTATCATAGGATCCGCCAGGAGGGGACTCATTTCCCTTGGCAACGACAAACACACCCCTGTGCCCCATCTTGGGATCCGCCAGGAGATGCAGCCATGGTGACTTGTGAACTCTATTCCAGAATGCGTGGATCTTCGTTAAAACTTTGTCTCTTCTTGTAATCTTGTAATCAGCGATGTAGTAGTCGATGTCCACAGGTGAATCAAGCTCAGAACAGAAAATGATGGCGATGTTGCATGAAAGAAAAAGATGATGTCCGCATGGCAGAAAACTGTATCAATCCCCCCTGTAAGGACCACCACTGTTGTAACAGGGAATTTATCCCAATGTCACACAGGCTCACAGGGGGGACAGTAATCTCCTGCCTGCCTCTCTCAATCTCACCAAAGGTCCTTGTGATACGGTGTTGTATAGTTGTGGCTGTGCAGTCACGGGACTACCCCAACTACACTCGCCAATGTATATACATGAAAGAATGAAAGAGCAGTGTTTTGTAGTGCAAAGGTTTATCCCTGCAACAGCGTTGCCACCTTGGCTGCTCTAGCCTTGGAAGCGCTAGAGCCAGCCTTGTAGCAATCCTTCACTACATGACCGGCCTTTCCACAGAACATACAAAGCTTATTATCGAAGCGGTGTTGGCGCTCTTCCTTCGTGAGCCTGCCATTTTTGTCGAGTTTTGCGGCAAGGTCGGGTTTTGGTTTGCTGTTGGACTCCTTGTCCTTCGGCGTTTTGTTACTAGGGTTGGGTGGGGGGTCGGAAGGGCGTTGGTGTTTTGCGGGAGAGGATTTATGTGGCAATTTGTCGTTAGCATCATGAACGGGCTTGTTGCGCCACTCAGTCTGAACCTTACGATCCCAGTAGTGGCCATCAATATCTTCGGCTAGGTCTCATAAGTCGTATAACGACGTGGGCTTACCAAAACGAGTGATCTCGTCCTTAATTCGATTGGGTAATCCACGATAGAACATGGCACGGAGGGCCCCTTTGCTGAAATTATCCAACTTGCCTGCATAGCGGTTGAATTCGATCACGTATTTACCAATTCGCTGCCCATCCTTCATCATGAGGTTAAACAACAATTCCTCAGCCTTGCCGATAGGGTCGTGCGGGCCGAAATTGCGCTCCAACTCGTGCACAAACCTTTCCCAGTCGTTCATCCATTGTGGTTCTCGACCTAGGCGATGGCTGCAGAGGAGGTCGGGCTTGAATAGGTCAAGGGCTGGCCCCTTTAGGTATGACACTGCATACAACACCTTGTCGGATTTGTTGGGGAAGGTGTAGGCTCGAGTTTTGAAATTTACTTCGCATTGAACGAAGAACGTGCGGAGTTTTTTAGGGTCTGATCTGTCGAACTGGTCGGGTTCGCATACCTTTTTACGGGGGGGTTCTCAGTGTGGTGGCAGAGGAGGTGGTGCTGGTGGCGGAGGTGTAGGAATGATCAGGCAGATACTGCGGGTAGTGCAGGTTAGTTCCGAGATTGCTCTGGTGAGCATGAAGTTAACTTTATCCTTCAGGTCGACTTCCTTGGGATTGATTTCCTTGATGTCATCCTCACCATTGTCTTCAGTATCCGCAGTGGCTGCTTCAGCTGCAGCGCCTGAAGTCCTTCTCTCAGTCACTGGTGGTGGCGGAGCCTGAGCTGTTTCCTCGCCCTTGTTAGCACCCTTAAAGTCGTTGTCCAAGTCGCTTTTGCTAGCATCTCGTCGTCGCCTTCTCAGGGTTGAGGAGCATGGGTAGTACTCATCACCCACCATAAAACTCTCAAATTGTCTCTCCTCTGTCCTACCTCTTTCAAATGGCATACTAGAGCTGTAGTCTCTATAAGGCATCGTAGAAGGTCCTGCTGCAGCATTCCTGACCTGCAAGCGAGTCATACATCGTGACATCGTAAGGGCATCAAGAGCGATAGGGAGTTCGAAATACTGTCAGAACCTTGCAAAGCTTTGCTGATGGTAGCCGTAGGCAACCGAACGTTGGCTGCTAGTGGTGAAGGCATCCTACCCACGACCGAGCTTTAGCGAGGAATAACCTCACCGATCTCGAGGTCGAGGCTACTTAGGCAATGGGCCGGGATTTCGGCTTCAACAACTCAGGGAGGAGCGTTGCGCCTCATTCTTGATGTGGTCCCGATACTTTAGAAGGCGGAGGTCTTACAGGGAACAGATGTAAGCTTAGGGGGAAGTTCTAGTTGATTTCAAACTACAGTACAAGCATTAGTTACAAGCTGTATATAAGCGCTAAGGAACTGAATAGGGAATAAGTCGCCAGATCTCATGGAGATTGCAGGCAGAGAAAAGGAGGAAAACAAACAAGAAGCATGTGTTCAAGACAGCGAAGGTCAAATGTGACCTTCGCTGCGAGATAACAAGGTGTGGTGAAACATGGGACAGAAGGTCGCAGCGCTCTGCGCCACTAGGTCGTTCAATGACAATTAGGAGAGGGGTTGTGGAGAGGTGGCGGGAAGGGGTTAGACGGCAACAGGCGGTGAGCGGAGTGTGCGGGGAGTGTTCGGGCGTGGGAGAAGGTTGGGGAGGAGGTCATCTGACCCCAGGTGTCATATCCATACAATCCTGACCTCCGCTCCAGGCTCCCGGAACTCTGAACTCCGACTTCTGGAGCCCTACTTCCATTCTGTCACCTTCTCCTTGCTGACTCCCAAGAGGTTATCCCACCTCTGGCTCCAACACCACCTTCGGTCCGACTCTGGAACATTCCAGGTCCGACCCCAACCTCGACACCTTCCAGATGAGTACACAAAACCTATGCTCCCGACTCCGGACCTCCGCTCCGGAATCCCGTTTGCGTCTCCATCTCCGGAACCTCCGGTCTTAGCTCCGACCTCGGACTTTGACCCCACCTCCGCTTATACCCATTGTATTGGTTAGCTCATTCCATTTAATTACGTTTGCCAATATTCCAGAGTTTAACTTCCGAGTTCGGACTTTCCGGACTTATGTTGGACCTTGCAACTATTGCATTGCTCCATTCAGTTCCGCTATTCTCCCTCATTCCTATTTGGGCTACTGCTTCCTTTCTATTCAGTCAGCTAGCCATTCCCCACTCCCAACCTCCTTCCTTCCTCCTTGGGCCTTGGCCCTTCACTCCTCCTTTGGGAAACACCATTGAGTCAAACCCTTGACCCTCGGTGTTGTTCCTCTTTCCAGCTCCCTTTGTCTCCTTTCGGAGTACCCTCGCTCCTTTTGATTCCGGACCCCTCCTTATATACAATATACACAGTAACTTGTAACCTCAGTCCGAAATCGACCTGAATTCCCCCCAAGAGACTTTCCCCCTGCTAGATCCGAAATTAGGGACCCCTAGGACAACCAGCAATGGCACAGCGCTCCGCCTGAGTCACTGAGGCCGAGGTCCTTCCATGCTAAGTCTCCGATTCCACTCCGGAGTCGTCCGAATCCGCCTGGTTCTAACAGGAACGGAATGTACCGTCCCCAAAACAAGTAAGAACCCATTCATCTATGCTGCCATAATCCTGCCAGAGTGGGGGCACGACCTAAGGGCAATGACCACGCCGTCCCAACGCCTAGCAGAGGAAGCCCAAGGTGCGGAGGCAAAACCGCTGATGCTGGAAGAGCTGGTGCCCGAGCACTACAGAGACTTCTGGGATGTATTCTCGAAGGAAGCCTTCGACGTGCTTCCCCCCCGGAAGCCTTGGGACCATGCCATTGATCTAACCCCAGACGCCAAGCTCCCTAGAGGCAAAACCTTTCCCCTATCCCGACCGGATGTCAGGGCACACCTGCCTGACCCCACACTGTACTGCACTACTCCGCTTCCCCCGCTATCACTCCCTGTCCCTCCTTTCCCATTCTCCCCCTTTCTCTCTATTTCTATTCTACGGTCAATTTCCCTTTTCTCCATGTACCACTACATGCCTAACCCTGCTCCCCTGATCACCACACATGCCACACACACTCCCACCTACTGAGTGGCCACCTCCGGGATCTCCCACAGAGACACCCAGGGAGGTGCGGCTGTGTACGGAGATGATGTGGCTTCCTCCACATGACCCTAGCCGCATGTATATAATAGCACCTGGGGTGGGAACAGAAGCAGCCTTCTTCTCAACTTCCCACTTCAGACTAAAGTGGTTGGGGATGCTCACCCCACAACGGGATCACCGCTATGCACAGCCAACATGTCCCACTGAGTCCCTCGCACTGGGACTTTGCCACTTTCGGAGCTGCCCCTGACAGCAGAAGAAGGCTTCAACCTCATTTCCCCTGCCTCCCCCACCTCTCCCGCCATGGTGACTGAAGAGCAGTATGATGAACTGCTGTCCCAATTCCAAGAGCTCCAGGCCATCGTAGAGAGCCAAGCTCAGACCCAACCCCCACCTGCGCTTGCACCCACCCCCAGACCAAAACCACC